TTTGTCTTGTGTTGTCTAATTTTGATTTTGTAATTTTCCGTTAAGTTTCCAACATCTTTTTTTTTGGTATCTCAAGCATTTTTTTTAATATTTGCACCATATAATTTATCTATTGTTCATCTTTGTTAGCATTGGTTGCTTGTGGTCTTTCGTAAGATAGGGCTTCAAGTTGGATCTTTTAATGTTAACAAGATTTCATACTAAGGTCAAGCCCTTTACTGGGTTGATGATGATCTTGACTCCTGTTCTTCATCATCTTTGGTTTAGATGTTGGCAATGGCATCATTTTGTGATGACAAGTCTTCCTTTTTAAGAATTTGTACCCTTATCGCTTCAAAATCAACATTAAATCCAACAAAAAAAATTATATTATCAATCTTTTTCAACAAACTTTTTAAGAAGTATCATTTTGCTGCATTCTATTTGGAAGTGATGATAATAATCCATCTTTTTACATAGAAATAGGTTGGAATATTCTGTGATAAATCCTCCTTTTTTTGTGGATGGGATCTTGGTTTTTTCTTCATACATTTGTGTGAAATCACAAACTTTGGAAAACATTTGATTTATTGTTTTTCATATTTCATTTATTGAATGGAGGAAAATGCATGTGTCACTTATCTTCGGAATTATAGAGTTTCATATCCAAAATATCACCAAGAGTTTTATTCATCCCAAACATTAAATGTTTGATGTTCTTGCTTAAGTCTAGTGCCATGTAAATGGTCCAATTTTCCTCTTCTCTTCAAGAATCAGCAAATCAATTGTGATCACTTTAGATACTTCTTTCGATTCAAATATTATATTGAGATGTTTTTTTCAATTCTTGTGTTGTATTTGGATCGCTTCCTTAAATCCCAAGGGAACTTGAGACAGAAGGAATATAAGCAATAATGACTCTGCTAGGGTTTCTTCCTCCCTAGCCGTTCTCCTCCTAGGCGCTCAATTTCTGGCCTCCGTCTCCTGGTCTGGTCACAGGGAAGTTCCCTTTGCCTTCTCTCTCTGGTTGTGCTTTCTAGTTCTTTTTTTTTTTCGTTCGATTTTCGGTCGGTTTTTCAAAAAATGGCTGGTAACCGCCTCGCCGATCCCGGGTTTTTGAATGGGAAGGCTTCTCGATCATTTCGTAATGCTTTAGCTTGTGATTCTCAGTCTTCTTCTTTCCCTGACCTTAAAATCTCCTCTTTACGTGGGATGCCATCGTTATTGATTTCAGAAGCTGAAATTTTAGCGCTTTCTGCCCCTTTCGAGTTCGCCTTGGTGGGGAAATTCCCTTTTCGTAGACCTTCTCTTGAATCTATTATGAAGTTTTTCTTTAATATCAAACTAATATGTGATTTCTCGGTTACTGTTCTTAATCCAAACCATGTGTTGATTAAGCTGCTGAATGATTTGGATTATTGTAGGGTTTTTGCTCACCGTTCTTATTTTATGAACAATTGCTTTATGAAACTGTTTAAATGGTCTCCTACATTTGATATTGAGGTGGAATCCCCTATCATTCCAATTTGGGTTTCCTTTCCCAACCTTCGACCTCTCGTATCCTATGATGCACCGACACTTCTCCTCAAAGAGGCGTGCAGTGTCCAACACCGTGTCCGACACGACACTCGCCCGACACTCCTCCAACACATGTCGGACACGTCGAAAACATGTCCGATTAATAAATATCAAATACAAATTGGACACGCGTGTCGGACACGCGTATCTTAAATATTTTATGAATTTTTTTAAATATAATTTCTTGTATTTGGCAGGATTTAAAATAAATTTCTTATTTCCTATCCACAACACCAAATCAACGTCTGCACTTAATACTCAATCATCGAATATTATCATTTTCATTTCTTTTTGGCAGTGATGGTATTTTCGTCTCCTCTCGGTGACTGATAAACGACATCGACTCCTAACTCTCGACATCCTAATACTAATCATTTTAAGCACAATTCTAGTTAAATGACTTATTATTTTTAAATTATTTTTAAATTATACTTATTTAATTTTTATACACTATTTTTTAAATATAAAAACTATAATAACGTGTACAACCCGTGTCCGTGTCCTATATTTTTAATAATTGACGTGTCCCGTGTCCGTGTCGTGTCGTATCCGTGTTGCCGTGTCCGTGTCTGTGCATCATAGCTCGTATCCTTCACGGGCTTGCCTCTATGTTTGGTCGGCCACTTAAATTTGATTGTGCCACTTCGTGTGGTTCTCAACCTTCGGTTGCTTGTGTTTTGGTTGAGTTGGATGCTACCAAAAACTTTCCTGATCGGGTGTGGGTTGGTCTCGAAAATCTAGGCTATGTCCAGTCTGTGATTATTGAGGAATTTTCTTTGTATTGCTCTCACTGTAAATCGCTAGGGCATTCTAAATTGGATTGTAGTATTCTACATCCCATTAATTCCTCTGGTAATCCTTTTGCGGGTCATGTGGATGTTCTTCCATCTACCTTTCAAAATTATACTAAGGTTGTTAATGACTTTGCAAATTTAGCTTTGCACAATATTGGTGTTGTGGCTGGTGATGGCCATTTGGCTAATGCTACCCCTTCAGTTGTGCCTGTCCCTGAGGTCCCTCCTGTGGTTGTTTCGTTTGTGGCTAGTGACGTTAATAATGTTGATTCTTCTGTGGCTGCTGAGTTGGCTCAATAGGAGTTGTTGCCGAAACTTTCTCTTGAGAATGTAAATGTGGTGGAGACTATTGCTCATGTTTCGAATAAATTGGATGTGACTAATGCTAATTTAGATGACAATGAGGTTTTTGCTGCTGAGGCTTATGATCTTAACCATTACTTAGTCAATTTAGTAGCTTGTCTTATTGTCTCTCTTGATTCTAATGTTGATCTAAGTGATGGTGAAGCCGAGGTTTCTGATAATTTTGTCCATTTAGACCCTGGTGACCAAAATTGTGTTCCACCTGTGGGTGCGATTTTGCCTGTTAATAGTTGTGTGGTTACTAACGTTTTGGACACTCCTGCTCCATTTAGTGTTTCTCTTTCTGAGGGTGTTGATCCTATGGCTAAAAAAATTGGTGTGCCTCTTGTTGATGTGTCTATTTCCATTATTTCCAAGGATGATTTGTTAACTCACCTAGCTTGTAAATCGAGAGAAAATGTGGTGTTGCAGGGTGACTGGTTACATGATGACAATTCTTCAGCCGGTGGTGAGGAAATTAATGAGGATGATTTGGATTCTTGGGATAACCTTGATTTAAGTATTATTCAAATTGCTGGCATTGGTTTTTTAAAAAGTAGTAAGCTTAAATTTCGTAAATAAAAAAAGAAATGATTTTTCTTTTTTGATTTGGCTCTCCTGTTGTGGTGTTTGCTTTGTTGGTTTTAGGCTTATTTTGTTGGAATGTTGTGATGGCAAGGCCGCAGGCTTTTGTCCCGCCCCCTGGATGGCCATGGTTTATGTTGACAACCTTGGTGGCTCTGTTAGACCGGTCCTTCCTGGACCGGTCCAGCCGGCCCAATCCAGTGGGCCGGTTCGTTTTTACCGAAGGAGGGGGCGGGCGGAACAGGAGGCGGAAGCCGCATGAGGGCTAGAGGTGGGGTCCACTTGAAATTCAAGTTGTTTCTTGGAGCCAAAATGAGGGGAAGTGAGGGCAATTAGGTCCTTTTGTATCTATTTTGAATTGTATGCATTAAGTAGGGAGTAAAGGGGAGGTTTAGGGTTATGTTGAATTTGCTTGAAGTTTTTCTTGTTCTTCGTTGGAGGCTAGGCTCTAGATCGAATTCTAGAGATTGGGAGAGTGCGGTCCTCCTCTCGAATAGAGGATCATTGTATATTTGCTATTTTTCTTGCATGTACTAGTAAAATACAATTCTTTTCTCTTATTTTCTCTCAGTTTTTCCCTGTTTTCCACTGTTTTGGGCTGTTTTTCTGCTGTGGACAGCAGTTTCCGCGGAGAGTTGTTGTGAAAGTGATTTGGAAATACTTGAAATCAAGTATTTCCTATCAGGCTCCTTCTGTGTGTTCATGGGTGGCTTTCGTTTTTTGGTTTCCTCGTTGATGGTTATTCTTCCCCCAATGGATGGTGCAAGCTTGGCAGCGTGGTGGTGCTCCTGAGTCCAACACTTCGGATTATTTATCATTTCCAGTTTACTTTACTTTGTGTCGATTAATGTGGTTTCCTCTGCTTTTTGTATTTTTTTTCTTGTTTCTTTGGCTTTTTAGCCATTGTTTGTTTGTCCCCTTTTCTTATGAAATAATAAAAAAAAAAAGGAATATAAGCAATATTGTTGTTTTCCCTTGAAAGAAAACCTTGGCAGGAGGGTGTTAGCAGACAAGAAAAAGAACAAAAATTAAGAAGTTTTTTGTTTCAGAAATCATGAAGAAAAGAATGTAAGGACACTTACAAAAAAATTTCCTAAAGCTTTGATACCATGGCAAGAATTGGAGAATACTTGAGTATTTTTCGTTCCATCATTTGTTAGAATCCATATAATCTTAGGAAAACTTCTAATAGGAATATACAAAATTAAGGACTAAAAAATAACTATATATTTAGTTACAATAGGATAACCCCTAGATCTTTACTTGTACAGCTGGATGGCTCACATAAATTAGTGTGGTAGAAATGTGTTCCCACAGATCTGTGAGGTGGTAAGGTGGAGAAGATATTAAGTTCGAGATGGAGGCAGAGAGGGTGTTGTGGGTCCCAAAGAGCGGAATCAAGGGAAATTTTCTCAAAATACAATATTTAGTCTGCGAAATTTGTCTTATAAAGCATCTTAATCTACCTGCATCTTGCATTAAAACTTGATCATGGTTACACAAAGAAGATTTTCCCTGTTTTATCATTTATATCTCTATCAATAGTGGAGTTGGTGATAAGTGAGTATTGTTTTATATGCATTTTCTACAATCAGTTCGTCCTGTCAGAGTTATCTATATTATCTTATTGCAAAATGAATTCTTTCTTCGGAATCATTTGGTACATTGTACCATCCACACGGTAATACAGATTTCTATACATTCCTTTTTTCTTTGAAGCAGGCAAATTATTGTGTATGGAGAGTTGAGTCAGCGCATGGAGCTGCAAATGTTGGACAAGGAGTACGCGCCAGGGTATATGTTCCTTTTGCCGAGTCAAATATAGTTTATTGCTTGATTATCTTACTTTTCTCTCATCACTAATCATGCTCGCTTGCTATCAGTTTCATTAACATTTTCAAGATTGCCAATGCCTCTCAGTTTATCTTGATCTGCTTATGTTGTTCATTTGTTTTGTTCATAGGGATGCATTACTCCTCTCTGGGTTGCATTTGCTGTCCTGATTGGAGGACTTCTACTGGATGTGCTACTGTCAATTTTGCTTGGTGTTTCTGCGCTTCCTGTAAACATTATTATTGGTACACATTATATCCTTTTTTGTGAAGCATATTTATTTGCATTTGAGTACTTGTTTTACCTTTGCCATATCTAATTTAAAATTGTGAGTGAGGATAGGGAATTCAATCTTTTTTTGGTGATTAGTAGGAAACAATCTTGATGATATTCCAATAGAAAATGAAGTGTGGAAAAGCTGTTGGACCGGATGATATGATGATATTTCAATAGAGATGTGGAAATACTTAGGGGATGAAGGAATTTCTTGGCTTACTAAACTTTTTAATACTGTTTTGAAGACTAAAAAAATGTCAGATCTGTGGAGAATGAGTGTGTTAATTTTTATTTTTAAGAATAAAGTTGATGCACAGGAGTGTGCGAATTATAGAAGAATTAAGTTAATGTGTCATACTTTAAAACTATGGGAGCGAGTTATGGAACGTAGGTTGCGGCGTGATACTAATGTTTCTTAAAATCAATTTGGATTCATGCCGGGTAGGTCTACTATGGAAGCCATACATTTATTGAAAGGTTTGTTGGAGAAATATAGAGAGAATAATGAGGATCTGCATATGATATTTATTGATTTAGAGAAAACAAATGATAAAGGCCTCGTTTGGATGTCCGTAAATTTTTCCGTTTCTAATTTCAATCGGTGAAAAGTTACTATTTTAATGTTTGTTTACGCCACTTTTTCAAAACACCTTTTGGTATAACTCCGAATTTTCGCCGATTTGAGAAGGAAAAAAATTATGCTTCTCTATTGTAATACCTCCGTTTAAGAATGAAAAAAACGTCGGTGGAAACCAAATGAAGCCAAAGTTCCAAGAGAAGTGCTATGAGAGTTCTTGAAAAGAAAGGAGTTAATAATACTTATATTCAAATCATTAAAGATATTTATGCAGGAGCTATTACTTGTGTTCAAACACAAGGTGGTTTGACCAAGTATTTTCCTATTTCGGCTGGATTGCATTAAGGATTAGCCTTAAGTCCATATTTTTTTCTTTAGTCATGGTTGTTCTCACTAGACATTTGCAAGATGATGTACCTTGGTGTTTGCTTTTTGCTGATGATATTCTTCTTGTTTATAAGATTAAAGAGGGAGTTGAAGGTAAACTTGAATTATGTAGGTCAACTTTAGAGTTTAAAGGTTTTCGCTTGAGTAGATCTAAAACTAAATATATGGAGTGTAATTTTAGTAGCAATAGACCTAGTGAGGTGATTGTGACTTTGGGCGATCAAGTCATTAATAATAGTACACGTTTTAGATATCTTGGATCTATTGTTTAGAGTGATGGTGAAATTAATGGGGATATTATCAGCAGAATTTAAGTTGGATGGTTGAAGTGGATCAATGCATCGGGCTTATTGTGCGATAGAAAAGTCCCCCTCAAACTTAAGAAAAAATTCTATAAGATGGTGGTGAGACCTGCAATGCTTTATGGCGCCGAATGTTGGCCATTAAAAGTGAAGCATAATACTAAGTTAAGTGTTGTAGAGATGAGGATGCTTAGGTGGATGAGTGGCTTGACCCTTAGAGATAGGATACGAAATGAGCATATACGTGAAAAGGTTGGGGTAGCTCCAGTGGAAGATAAGATTAGA